TGGAAAATACACCCCTGCAGCCATCATACACAATTCTCCCCTGAAACAAATGCACTCTGTTGCTACGAAGAAGCTTCAATTAGACTACCCACCCGCCATTACTTTGTGATCGGGGCTGACTCAGGTGAACGGATGCGCAATCGTGTTACCGACCTGTTTCCTCCAGGAGAACCCCTTCTGAGAAATGTGCAGAGCAAGAAGTGTCATAAAACACAGCGTCATCGCAACACGACAAATCAGACAACCGTGTTTGGTCTTTTTAGGGGACACCTATGTTCAGCCCGTCGTGTCTGAATAAAGATGACGTGGCGTTGATAATGAGCGTTCGTGATCCTATCTGGTTTTATTAGGGATTAAACGCATCTACATGAAATTATAGTCCGCAGATCTACCGAGCTGATTAAATCAACAATCTGAAATCCCACAGAGATTTGTTGGTTATTACATTCTTTTCGTGTTTGTCTGCACAGAACAAAAACTAATTATTAGTTATTGTGAGTTTTACGTTTAAAGCTTCCAGCACACTTTGCTAGTCTTCTCGTAATTACATCTCCCACATCAGATATACCGATCAGTCATTTATCCTTCATGTTGTTGTTTTAGTCAACAAACACTGTTTAAATCTGTTTACTGTAAACTGGCCTGCAGCTACAACACAATTTGGTACAATCTGACACAGTACATGATAAAATGTGATACAACAGAATGAAATGATATGCTATGATACATTACAGTGATACACTGAAATATAAAACCATATATGATTTATCAGACCCCCACAAAGTCACGGTTCAGATTTCACGGTGTGTCTTTTTCCTCAGAACGTAACTTATCAGTGTTTGTGGAAACACCCGTAATTTTGCCCAAACCATATCTTCAAGGTGTCTTGACTACACACCTTCATCTTCATCACCTTCAATCAGCATTATCCGTTACTGCTGAGTACTTGTACATTTCACTGTATATTAAATAAATTAATTTATTATAGTATAATATATTCAAGTGGGAGACAGCCCAGTTTAATAGAACTGGCTTGGTGCTACATCAGTTGTCGATCGGAGTTGGAGAGCTTGTATAATAGTAGGGGAGACACTGCAATATAATAAACTTGAACAATTCGATACTATAGAAAACAGTGATACTTTAAGATAAATATGATATAATGCAATGACTAAATACAATATGGAGTGATATAATACACTGTGATACAATAAAATGCAATCTCAGAACCAGGTGCTTTATTAACCACTGTAAAAATACAGTGAAATAACAGAAGCATTTGGGTCCTGTCCACACTATACAGGATGTTTAAAAAACGATTTTTCAAGGATTTGCACCTCCAGTCCACTCAAAAAAAAAAAAAAAAAAAGCCAACAACTTTACTTTCACTTTTATCTTCTGCACACGGTAAAAATCATTATTTCTCTTTTAAATTCAACTCGTTCATCACGTTCACACAATCGTGTATTATACCTGTAAATTTTACAACCTTTTATCACCTAAAAAAAAACAGCGAACATCACATCGATATTGAATCAGTCAATAGATTCTATAATGACACGCAGAAGATTGTTGAAGGTTCTTCTGCTGACCTCTCAGAAACTGAAGCCGCTCGGCTGAACGGATCGGTCCGTAGTCGCGAAAAACATGGTAACAACGGCGACTCTCTCCTCTTTGGGCCTGAGAACCGGGCGGAAATATCAATTCGTCACTGTTCGACCATGGCGTTTAAAACCGGCTCTTTTATTTCCCAGGTGGAGAGAAGACTCGCGCTGACAAGAATAACGGCTGAAAAGAATAAAGTTTTACCATTTAATATCTTCTCAGGCAGGTAAATGTACAGGTTTTCATAACTGTGACATCATCCGACCCGCCTCGAACAGGAACCGGAAATGAAGTCCTGAGCTCCCGAATAAACTCGTCTTTCTTCAACTCTAGACTCCACCCGTAGCCTGGAGCGGAGTGTGACCTGATTGAATCAATAGTGGGCTACATGTGGACCTGTATAGGTCATAACTGGTTTAAACTGATGATACATTTTGTGTCTAAAATATGCAAGCAAGCAGCAAACGATTCCATATAAGTGGATATTTCCGGGACTGCTCGTCTTTGAGCAGATGAAACAAATCTTTGTCCTCAAAACCAAAACAAGGAAGCTGCTTTGTATTTTCTATCGTTATTTAAGTGATCATGTGATGAAATGGGTAATCGCTTAATAGGAAACTGTAAACAGTATCAAAAACAAACAGAAGCAAGTGCTCGGGGAAAATGTTTAGTCGAGCTAAACGTTTTTTCTTCTGATCTTTGAGACGTCGGTGAGTCCACGCCTCCCGGTGGTGTGGAACGGATATTACAACATTTTGTTAAAATGGGCAGATTAAAAAAACTACCGGTATAAATAGGGAAAAAATGCTATCAGTTTAAAAATATATCCAGAGTAGTGTGGACAAGCATTAGGTGACTTACAATAATAAAAGCACACGAAACACAAAATACAAACATTAAATTTTTTTTAAAAATGTAGTCTAAAGCGAACGCACGTGTGCAGGTACTCAAAATTGGATACGGTTCAATATAATTTGTACATTTGTTACAAGATAATTCAAAAATTCAGTTTATTATTTTTGTGCTATTTTCATTTGAATATAATCCTAAGTGTGTTTTGGATCATTATAAAACAAAGCCTAAATATTTGATCAAACAAATAAATTTGCAAAGAATTGCTTAAAAAATTTTTTTTGTTGTTGTAATTTTGCATTTCTTTACTTGTAAGACCATTTATAATCGTTCCCACAAACTGTCCCATGTGTTCCAAAGAAATGCCTTACTTGATGTTAAATAATTTAAGAAAAAAATAAATCACAAGTTTAAATGTTATGATGAATTATTTCGTTGACATAGGCTATCTATGCAAACTTAAGTGCAAGAGGAAAAAGAAAACTTCCATCTGACTGAGCCAAAGCAAAGTAAAAAATTTCTTTAGAACAATACTTGTGACCTGTTGGCAAAATAAGTACTGGCTGCAGTGCAAATAAATGTGTCAATTAAGACACCATGTAGCACTCTCAATAACTAAAATGAAACATAATATTCCTAATCTACCTTTAAATTGGCAATACGATGGATCAGTGGTTAGTACTGTTGCCTCACAGCAAGAAGATTTTGGGTTCAGTCCCTGTGGTCTTCCTAGTGGAGTTTGCATGGTCTCCTCGTGTTTCCATGGGTTTTCTCCGGTAAAAATCTGCATGTTAGGCTGCCTTTACCAGGCCTGCCTCGCAAAAGAGAGCTCAGTGGATTTGCTTAAAAAAGGTATGTCTTCAGAAAAAGAAAAAATATATATAACATTTACAATTTCCAAAAAAATAAAAATAAATTCTGCCAGGAATTCCCTTCGTATAACGTTGGGCGTCATGGTGAAGTTTGAAGATTTCCCCTTTTAAATACGGGGCTAGAATTCCTGATGAAATCACTCCGGATAAATAAAAACTGGGGTTTCAAACAGGCACCCAACAAAACTAATCAGTTTGAAGCTTTTGAGATAAAGAATGTAAAAACAAACATAACAACAATAAATCCATTTTGAAGAATGTCCCTTTTTGTGTCTCGTTTGGATATCACGGGTCACAAATGTGTGCTACAAATCGTCTTAAAACAGCTGCAGAGTTGTCTCGAACTCTTCCGGTCTCCAGCTCCCCTCAAGAGCAGGGCTGGGAAATACCAAGGATTTTCAAAACTGGACACTTTTCATGGGAATTTATGACAATAAGCTGGAATAAATCGGGATATTAGACGACTAAAGGTTGACTCTTACTGGGGATTTTAAAGTTAGTTGGGGAAAAACTAGGGGTGCACCGATTGCAGTGTTCAGGCCAATCACTAATCACCGATTTCTAAAAAGTCTGACTGCTGATTCCGATTTTGTTTTATAAGCAACACTGTCAGGTGTTATAAGGTCGCAACGCACCTTCAATTTTCCAATATTATTTTATTGAAAAACACCCTTGAACAATAAACTAGAAACAATACAAACTTGATTGGCCATGAGCTCTGAAATATAAATCAAGTTCAGATAATTGTTGTTAAAACAAAACAAACAAAAAAAATCGGTCAAATCAGTTTTTCATCTAAGTATCGTCCGATTTCCCAAAATTATAAATAAATTGGGGTCGTCCGATATATCGGTGCACCCCTAGGAAAATAAATATTAGCATAATCTAACCAACTAGCTTGTTGTTAGCCTGTTGATAAATAACCAACTTCCAACAAACTACGGATCATTTTGAAGCTTTTGTGATGGAGAATTTGAAATATAACAACTTAATATATAAATACTCCTCATTTTATATATATATATATTTAACCAGCATGGCCATGTGACAACATTTTAGTTTTACATTTAGTTCTGCTTCGAAGGTTTTTAAGGGATTCACGCGGAATGAGTCGATTTAAAAGTAATAAATTATTTACTTTTTTTTAAGAGGTTCAACTGAACCCGTTTTAGGCGAAATAAACGCGGGGTTTTATTGCTGTGGCTCGTTTATATTGTCGGGATCAGGTGCAGGACAGGAGAGCTGCCTGGAGATTTCCCGGTTGTCATGGAGATGGAGGAGATTCAGAAGAAGAAGAAGAAGAAGAAGAGTCTCCTGTGATGTCGGGGTGTCTTAAGCAGGAGGCTGGTTTATTGGTCCTTTAGCTGTGAGGCCTGCAGGCTCATCCAGCCTTTAACATTTTGTCCAACAGTTTCTTCCATCGTTTCTCCATCATGTCACCGCACAGAAAAAAAAACAACAACTGCCAAATAATCCTCACATCCGCACTAAATGCGTTTTTTTTGCGGGCTTATTTGCTTCTTAATTAGACTCTCATCGCACTGTTATGTAACACCCCCCCCCCCCCCCCCCCCCAATCTAACAGATGATTACATGTTAACAGGCGATCATAGCCACCGGGAGCGCGCGCGCGCCCGTGTGTGTGTGTGCGCGTGGGGGAAAGGTGCTTACCTCGTGCAGCTGATCAATAATCACTCGTCGGCTCATTTTAAGTCCCCGCTGATGCTGCGTTGGTCTCCGGTAACCAAACCGCTCCGATTGAAGGAGGAGCGCCACCAAATACAGCTTCTTCCCTTCATCCATCCACAGAAAAAAAGAATATCAAAAAAAAAGGAGAGAGAGAGAGAGAAGAAAAGACAGCAGCAGCCTCCACCCCTCCACTGGCAGAGAGACATTAGGTGAGCAGGGAGGAGAGGGAGAGGAGGAGTGAGGAAGAGGCGGAGAAATGTTTGCTGAAAAGAGTGGATGATGCTCAGACCGTCTGCACAAAATCATCTGAGGAGTTTTAATATTTATCCTTAAAGGTACTCAAAGATATAAAAAGGTTAGCCTGAACTTTATCAGAAGGTGCCGTTTAGATGAGTTTACTCCACTAGTTTTCCAGATATACTGAAATGCAGGTACGCACTCAAAGTAAACAAACACTTGGATGATCCCCCTGAAAACCAGGCTTCAGTCGACCCGCATTAAGTTGGCCATGCTCTGCGCAGGTAAACAAATATAACCACTGGATCAGGGGATGTTCAACTGATGGCCCATGGGCCACTTCCAGCCCACAGTCCGGCCCACCATTGAGGTCATGGGGTGTCTGGGTTTTGTTTATTGCATTTATAATTCAATGCAACAAAATAAACACATTTAAAAGGTAACAGATCATTGTAATACTTAGTTTATTTACTTTAAAAAAAAATGTACATAATGACTTTAATAGCTGGATATCCAGTCCCTGAGCTGCTGGCTTTCATAAAGTGCAGCCCCCTGAGCAGTTTTATTGAATAGCCCTGCACTGGATGCTAGAAATGCAGTAGCTAAAAAAAACAATACCAATATTCTAGCAAAAGCAGCAAAACACTAGCTAAAATGATCAAAATGCTAGCTGGATGCAAGAAGTATCAAAGACAAGCTAATGTTATAGGTAAATAAAGTTAACTAAAAGCAGTAAATCAAGTTAAAAGTAGCAATTAGCTAATCAAACAGGTGGCTAGAAGCTAGCTTAAAGATAAAAGTAAAAAAGGGGTAGCAAACAATGACAAAAAGCTAGCTAGATGCTAGCAGTAGCAAATACTAGTTGAAGGTTAAACATAGCAAAATCTAGCTAAAGCTAAACTTATCAAAAGCTAACAAATTGCTAAAGATAGTCAAAGTATTAAAGTGCTTGTTACAGAAAATAACAAAAGGCAAGCAAATACTGTAAGCAGCAAATGTTTAGTGGCAAAAGTTTAGCTCAATAGCTAAAGTAGCAAAACACTCGCTGAAAGTAGCAAACTGAGATTTTAAAGCTAACAAAAAGTTAAAAGAAGCAAAGGAAATGGCAAATGTCTAGCTAAAGCTAAAAGTATCAAAAGGCAAGTAACAAAATAAAGGCCAGCTAAAAGCTAAAACATACCAAAAAGTTAACTAAAACCTAAAGATAGCAAAACGGCAACTAAAAGCTAAAAGTAGCAACAGAGGACAGAAATAATGCAGGTACGCTGAAGCAGATTCCAAAGAGAATTGTAGCTGACAAACAAACACAATATTATTGCTCAGTCTTCGCCTTTTCGTGGTTGGAATGAAAAAGCTAAAATACTTGCAGTCATACCAAAAGATAACATCAAAATGACTAACAACCCAAAAAACAAAAATGATCTTCAGCATTATGGTCGCAATTAATAATCACAGCGTTTTTGTTTTAATCTGTTCTTCTCAATGTCACAATTGATCAGAGTTTTTATTTTAAATTAAGCACACATTGTTTAACGGTAACTGATTAAGGACTAATCTTAACGGACATGAATAAATTGGTAAAAACAGCTTTTTTCATTACTCCAGAGTGTTGGAAGGTTGTTGAACCTCATATTCAGAGGAACAGAATGGTTTTCTGCCTGGTTGTGGAACAGTGGACTAGATCGTTGTTAAGAGGGTTGTGGAAGTTTAGCTGCTTTGCTTCTTAGGTGCAGCTGATTGGCACAGTGACTTGCTTCCTTGCTCTGTGGACGTGGTCATAATTGGTCATTGTGTTCAAGCCACTCCACCCATTGTGGTCCTTAATATAATCAGACTTCACTTTCTTTAGCTTATGTGCGTACAGCTTATTTCTTAGCACTGCCAAAAAGTCCGGGTGTGGCCATGCTGCACGATCATCTGTGACATCTGTAAACGTGCTCGTCTCTTGTGGTGCTGTCCGTCAACACGATCAGAGAGGAAGTGGAGGTTCAGATGTAGTTTGCAGTGCTGCTGAGCAGGTCATTCAGTGGCGTAGCTCTGCTGGCCATTCAACGTCTGCTTACGTGAAAATAGTCACCTCAGAGCAGTTCACTTGGAACCGCAAATAAGGTGGTCCCATATACCAAGCTGAGTGGGGGGTGGGCAGGCCCTTAACTGGTCTTGTGTGGTGGGGAATCAGTGAGAGTGGAGACAGTGGCAAAGCGCCATTTGAGTCCCCAGTCTACGTGTGTTTTGGGGGTCTGGAGCTTTGAAGAGCTATCTGGACCCTGTAGCTGTGTCCGCATTGTTGGCACAAAGTTGAGCTTGTTCTTTGATGCCGTCATGGCGGCTCTTTGTCTACAATCCTGCTTGAATGGACAGGATGTTAAGGTGCGGTCGTGGAGAAGAGGGCGTCTAGTTCAAGAACCTCGGGGTCTGGTTTCTGCTTTATGCAGACGATGTGGTTCTGTTGGCTTCTTCAGGCCATGACCTTCAACACGCACTGGGGTGATTCACAGCCGGGTGTGAAGCGGCTGGGATGAGAGTCCGCTCCTCTTAAGTCTGAGACCATACGTTTAGATCATGACTGAAAAAAAACAGATTGTGCATACAAATATCTGAAATGAGCTTCCTTCATAGGGTGGATGGGCTCAGCCTTAGAGACGGAGTGAGGATCTCCATCATCCGGGCGGAGCTCAGAGTAAAGCTGCTGCTTCTTTGCATCAAGATTCAGTTGAGGTGATTTGGGCATCTGATTTAGATATCTCCTGGATGGAGGTTCTCCAGGAAGACCTTGAACTTGCTGGAGGGATTCTGTACGTTCTCTGGCCTGAGGACACCTTGAGGTCCCACAGGAGGAGCTGGAGAGAGTTACTGTGGAGTGGGAAGTCTGGTTTTCTCTCCTGGACCTGTTGCCTCCAAGACCCGATTACAGATTACAGGTAGAACAGGAAGATGGAGCTTCATTGTTGTTACAGATTTCACAGCCTGAAAAATACTCGAGCTCAAACTGAAACCTCTCCCAAAATCTATTTTTCAACTAAAACTGTGTTTTAATATTTTATTAAATGTTCCGTTTGTTTTGTTTACTAAGAACTCTGAGTGTGGTCGAGAGGTGCAAATGAATCAAAAACAAGATCATTTTGTGAAATATTCAGGTGGAAGGAACTTTCTTTTTGCCGTTTGTTTTGCCCCTGGCACCTGGTTCTAGCTTGCTGAACGAGTCACCTAGATTGTCCATAATTTTTCTCCCTTGGTATACTCTCACTCCCTGGTTTCCTTTGTTTGTTTGTTTTTAATCAGGTCTTTGTGTTAATTTATGCTTCTTATCCTGTTGGTTCAGTATTTATTTCTGATTTTCTGTTACAGCAGCACATTTGATATTTTTCTTTCTAGTTCATCAAAGCTCTAGGGTTTATTTTTATTTTATTTTGCTAACCTTTTAGGCTAAATTTGTCTCCTATTTGTACCAGATTTGACAAATAATGAATTCATTGGCAACCCGATTGTACCAACAGTGGCTCTCCAGATGGCAAACCGGAGGCAGGACCTGCTCTGAAACACGAGGAACATTTCACCTTCAGACTGAAAGGCTTCTCCATCACAGCACAAACTCTTTCCAGGCGTTTAAATTTGATGAAAAGGCAAGTGAGTCGGCGAATGAGTAAAGCTCAAGAGGACGTTGGAAACACCTCTGCATTAAGCAAAACAAACATTTTGACAGATTTTTGAGCACCGCGTACCACATAAAATCTGTTCGAGGTCAGTAAGCACAACCAGAATTAATACATAAGGCACTCCGTTGATTTTAGAGACAATTAAAGGATTTTAAGTGCGCCTTATAGTCCAAAAAATATAGATTATGCATAATTTATATACATGTATATAGATTTTGTTTTAGATTTGAAGCTGTATTTAGTATCTGTAGATTTCGTCAGTGTGCATTTGTTACAGATGTTGAAACACAGTTTGCAGTTTTCCTAGTGTTTCTTGTCATGACTGTGTTGGTTGGAGTAAGTTCACACAGCTCAAACAGCTTCTTAATGTGTTTTTTTTATTTATTTATTATTATGAGATTTGTTGAACTTCCAGCTGCTTGAACCAATCAAATAAATATCATGCAACACATATGCTTCAACAGTCGGGCTGCAAACACTTTTTAAACACATTTGACAAGCAGCACGTGCAGGGTATGGTCCAACACGGCTATTATTGTGTTGGCATGACAACAATAGCTAAGTAGCGAGCCGATTCATTCAACATTCAAATGGACTGCCTGCATGTGCAAAGAGGAGATGGCTCTTGAGTCCGGCTGTGGGTTGCCAGGTTGTAATTAGTTTTGTAGCGAGTGGTTTACTGACCTGAAACCTTCTGATCCAACGTTGACTGAGATGGCCCCCGCCTCATGTAAGGAACAAAGTCTGCTCTAGAACAAAAAGTGATTGTGTAAATGTATAACTATTCAGATAAAGTTTATTAAAAATTCCAGACTTCACATTGTTAAAATGCACAAAAGTCACCATATAATATATAACAGAGGGCTGTTTGCTTCTGCATACCGACACATTTCTTTAAAAAACAGCTCATGCGAGGCTGAGCCCTGATTGGTCAGATTTTGTCGTTTGTCAGGTCAGATATTGAAGTTTAAGGGATGCATTCTGCACAAGAGTTCACTCAAAACCACCTTTTTTTAGACCTAGTGTCTGGCCTGTCATCCAGGCCCAATCTGCCTTGGAAGACCCTACCAGGTGACAGCACAGCTCCTAGGATCTTTCAGGTGCACAAACTCCACCATGATAATGCGGCGATTTGAGCAGGAGAAGCATCTTTGTTTCAAAATTTGTTGCTAAAACTTTTTTTTTTTTTAAACATCCAGTATTGCAACTTTCCACAGAAGATCTTTA